GTCGTGAGTGTGGATGTGGAGGTCTGGGTCTGGGGTTGTGAGTGTGGATGTGGAGGTCTGGGTCCAGGATAGTGAGTGTGTGGGGAGGCCTGGGTCTGTTGTAATGAGTGTCAGTATGGGGAGGCCTGGGTCTGGGGTTGTGAGTTTGGATATGGGGGCACCTGGGTCTGGGCACAATCTATGATGCCAAGTGTTTCTGTTTGTTTGAAGACAGATTTTGGCAGGCAGCGCAGAGCCTGTGGTTTGCCATGAACTCCCAGGTGGGGACCCTGGGCTTGAGTTGGAGGTGTCTGGGTGGAACGGGGCCTTTGGAGAGTCTGTCTGGTGTCAGGATTGGCCGGGTCTGAGCTGGGGAACCTGGAGCCAGGGGGACACCTTAGGGCTGTGGGGTGACTGGGAGGTCTGGGTGATCACCTGGTTCGGTATGGTGGGCAGCATGGTTGTCTTTGGGAATGCCCCAGGCCTCAGACAGCAGTTCCTTTGTGCCTCGGTGCTCTGCAGGCCTAGGGTGGGGCCAAAGGGGCACTGGAGGCTGGTGACCGAGGCCTCACAGGCCCTGCCCCTCTATCCTGGCCCCTGCCTGCTCTCAGAATCCTGCCCGTCTCCTCTACAACACCCTCCAGGCTGCCCCGGCCCAGTTCTTCCCAGAACTCCCAGTGTGGCCAATCACTGCATGACTCAGTTTCTGGGAACTCCTTGGATGCTGCACTTCCAGCTGCTGGGTACATGGCAGGTGCTTGGAGAATACCCCCGGCTTGTTGCTGTCATTAGGCACCATGCCTGCAGCTGGGGTGCCTGGGAGGCAGAGGGGAATGGAAAGCACCTGGGCTCAGCCCAGCTTGGCTGGGCCAAACAGGGCACCTGGTACCAGCTTTTGGGGCCTTGAGCAGGTGGCTGCACCTCTCGAGCTGGTTTCTTCTCTTTGCTTCTGGAAGGAGTGACGGTTGCCTCATCCTCTTGGGCTTGTGATGATTCCAGTTGGCCAGCCAGTGGCGGGCACCCGGCAGGTGGGCAGCACCCATGAAGGCGGCTTCTTCCTCTCCTGGTTTGGGAGTGCAGGGTCAGGCTGAGCAAGTGCAGGGACATTTGTTAATTTGTGAGGTTCTCCTAGAAGCCCTGAAAACTCCCAGCTCATTGCCAGGGGTTCTGTCTGAGCCTTTCTCCTGCCTGTCTTCTCTGTACCAGGCTGTGTTCTGGGGTGGCCCCTCCTTGTTGGCTGAGCCCTCAGCCGGCACCTTTATGGGCACCCCCACTTGTTTGGGGTCTTAGCCTCTGCCAGGAGAAGGGGGAGTGTGCAGAGACCTGGACAGCTGGTTCCCAGGAAGGCCAGTGCCTCACCCTGGAGTTGCAAGAGAAACATCTGTTTGTGTTTTTGTGAGCAAGAGGGGACAGCTGGCCCGCAGATAGCAGGTGAGGTCAGCCGGGGATTGCCTTGGCTACCAGCTGTAAGCAAACCCTGGCTCTGGTGAGGTGGGCGGAGAAAGGATGGAGGAGAGCCCAGCAGGGCCCGTGGAGAGCCACCTGGGGCTGGAGCCTGGGCTGGGCCGCACGGAGGCCGCTGGGGGAGGCAGTGGTGCAGGAGGCCGCCCCCGGGACCTGGAGCACTACCCTCTGCACACCCGAGGCCTGGGACTTTTCTCAGCAGGTGAGGAGGGGTGGGCCTTCTTTCCCCAGAAGCTTCTCTGCCTCATGGAGAGGCTGCTTCTGGGCTCCTTCAACAAGCAGCTCCCAGTTGGGAGCTGAAATCAGGTTTCCTCTGCAAAGATTCCGCCTGCCTGGGACTTTCCAGACCCACATAAATCACGTAAATGGAAGCAGGCCTGCATCTCTGCATTATAAGACAAATAGTATTAACGCTGGACATGGCTCATCCCAAGCCGGGTGCCTGGCAGCCCTGGGAGGACTCGGGCGTTTTCTGAGCAGAGAGCCCAGGGGCCACAGGCGCCTATGTGTTATTCTGGTTACCTTTGCGCTGTTAGAATTCCATTTCCTCTTTTTTTTTCTGTGTGTGCACGTGTGTGTGTGTGTGGTAACCCTGTAAGATTTTTTTTGAGACAGGGTCTTGCTCTGTTGCCCAGGCTGGAGTATGGTGGCGCCATCATGGCTCCCTGCAGCCTCCGTCTCCTGGGCTCAAGTGATCCTTCTGCCTCAGCCTCCTGAGCAGCTGGAACTACAGTTGCGTGCCACCACACCCGGCTAAATTCTAAATTTTTTTGTAGAGATGGGGTCTTGCTATGTTGCCCAGGCTGGTCTTGAACTCCTGGGCTCAAACAATCCTCCCATCTCAGCTTCCTGAAGTGCTGGGATACAGGTGTGAGCCTCTGCGCCCAGCCAGGTTACTGTGCTGTTGCTGCTGTCAGCCCTATGATGGCCTTGATACAAGAGTTCTGCCTGCCCTATGTCAGGCCTTTCAGAAAAGACACGAGCAAGCTGTGCCTCTGGGGACATGTAGGCAGAGCTGTGGCTGTTAAGTCCGAGGGCTGGCACTTGAGATGCTGGGGGAGAAGTAGGTGATTTCACATCTCATTTGGATTGGCGGCTTTGCAGAGCATTTCTGCCTGAGACTGAGAGAACAGTATCAGTTAGATGAAGAGACGGGCAGGGATTTGGGGGCCACTGGAGTGGGAGGTTTTGGTCATTAAAGATGTCCAAGGATTTACTTTCCTAGGCTAAAAAAGATCCACAGGAGTGAGTGACACTTCCTACGTGGACCCCAGAAGAGGCCATGTGAGGGTACAGAGAAAAACACCCCTGCCCGGACAGTGAGACGGAGCTGCTGGGTGTGGGTCTGGTGCCTCGTCAGCACCCAGCGCGTGTGCTTTGGAGGGGTCCTGGGTGGCATGGGCCCAGGGTTGCTGCTACGCAAGGTCACAGACAAGTAAGGCTGCAGGAGCCTTAGCAGGGGCTGGGGGTCCTCAGAGAGTGCATGTGTGGCGGGGAGAAAGGAGCAGTTGCAGGAAGTGAGGACTTCACACTGTTGGCCCTTGAATTCCAGACCAGCGAGGCGAGGCGTTATTCTGTGAGGCACTTTTTGAAACAAAATGTTACTGGCAGGCTGGGTGTGGTGGGGCACTCCTGTAGTCCCAGCTACTTGGGAGGCCGAGGCAAGAGGATCATTTGAGCCCAGGAGTTCAAGACCAGCCTGGACAACAGAGCGAGACCCTGTCTCTACCAAAAAATTAAAACATTCACCAGGTGTGATGGCACAAGCCTGTAGTCCTAGCGACCTGGGAGGCTGATGCAAGGATCACTTGAGACCAGGAAGGAGTTGGAGGCTGCAGCGAGCTGTGACAGCACCACTGCACTCCAGCCTGGGCAAGAGAGCAAGACCCTGTCTCAAAAAACATCATTGGTGCGTAATGGATGTGCATAGTTCCAGTGAGTGGCAGACTCCTCGATAGTTAACATTAGATTCTGAAGGTGCACTGGACACTCGCCACATCTGGGCATTGGGGTAATACGGGAAGACCCCCTGGGAGGCCGGCAGAGTGAAATGCTGATGGGAGGGAGGTGGGTTCCATCTGAATGGGAGCCAGATGGGAGGAGCCAGAGAATCCCCAGGGGAGGTGGTGCTGGGCTCTGGCCATCCGGGTGAGAGGGTGCAGGAGATGAGGCTGGGCCGCTGGGATGCGTCAAGGTCCTGGTGACCGGAACCGCAGTTGTGCAGAGGGTGAGGTGGCTGCAGAGCGGAAGGGTGGTCTGTGGCAGGTCATCCCCGGCCTGGAGGGCAGCTCAGGCTTTTCTCCTTAGTCGTGGGAGCCGCTGAAGGTTTTTGAGCAGCAGACTCACACAGCCCGGCCTAGGCTGTCAGGGTAACCTATGGCTGCACATGACGGCTCGAGGGGGAGCCCCAGCAGGTTCCGAGGCAGGTGAGCTGGGAGGAGGGGCCATCCCAAGCAGGCACACCTGGCAGGTGCCGGGGACATGGCGTTTGGGGGTTGTGTGTCAAGACACTGGCTTCCCTGGGCTCTGGCTTCAACTCTGGAATCCACTCTTGCCCTCTTGGTGCGTGATCAGCCTGCGAAGCTTCTAGCAAGTGGCTCCCTTGGGTTCAGACAGGCCTTTGAGGCTCCCTCTCTGAGTCTTATATCCTCCCAGCAGCCTGACAGGTGGAGGAGACGTTGATGCCTGGCTCACCTTATCTCGCTGTTCTTGTGTTTCCCGTATCGTAGTAACAGAGCAGATGTCAGCGCCGTTGCTAAGGGTTCCCTGGGATGTTAATTCCCTGGTGTTGAGTGGAGGGCCCCTGCATGGTGTCCTCGAGGCCCGGGGAGCGCTGGCTTGGTGGCAGGTACTCTTTCACATTTGTTCCAGCTGCTTTTCCCTCCTTTAAACCCCATCTCCCCCCGACCTCGGTCTCCCTGGCCTAGGCACAGTGCCACATCTGGGGATGGCAAACTCGGCAGCCGCAAATGTGCAGCCACTCTCCTTCCACGCCCGGGACAGACCCGACAGACGGATCACAGCGTCCCTTTCTATGGAGGCTGGGGCGGGCCCCAACCCCTTTTCCACCCAGCCCTCTGGACACCAGCTCAGATTTGGCACTTGGGATGAAGCCTCTCTTCCAGCCCTGCAGAGGCCACCTGCGACACCTCCTGGCCCTCCTAGCCCTCTCTGCAGGCACTTCCTCTGGTACCTGGGAGTGATGGGGAAGGGAGGGGTGGGTTTTGCTTGCCTCTCCTGTCTCCTGTTTGCCTCCCTTGCCTGGTCTTTTGGCCTTTCCACCACAAGTGGAAAATCAAACTCTGAATAGTTCTGGAAAGGGGTTTGTCTGGACACTGAAGTCAGGCTTGGGATTTTATCTGCCAGTTGCCATTTGTGTGGGTTAAATATTGCTATGATAACACGCATGACAGGCACACCTACCCAAACATGGGGGCTTACGACCGCCGTTTATTACCCCTCTCAAGTTCACGGCCAGCCGGGACGTTCTGCCACTCTTGGCCGGGCCGTGCGTTTCATTCTCAGCATGGTGGTTTGGTGGTCAGAGGACACCCACTGCCCCTCACGTGGAAGACATGCCTGGGCCCTCTGCGGCTGACAGAACCTGGCATCCTGCAGCTGCTGGTGGCGTATTGGCTTTGTGTGTGGGCATCCCTCCCCAGCACAGCGTCCTCCTCCAGCCCTGTGTCCCCCATCTCTTTCCCACCGTTCTCCCTGATCGTTTATTCTCCCCGTAGAGATGGTCTGTTCTGGACGCCTGCACCCTCGTACCTGGGCTTTCTTTGTCACAGGCGCTTGGGGGTCACAGTGTGGCCATGCTCTTGCGAATGCATTTCTCTGGGGGTCTCTCATGGGGTCACACTCGTGACTTCAAGGCAGACCCCAGCCAAGCAAATCCTCTGGTCTCAGGAGCTGGGGTCTGCTGGCCGCTCTCACCATGGGTCGAACCCCGGGCTGGATGAAAGCACGCTCATTCATGCCACACCCTAGGGAGTCCGAAGACCCAGTTCTATCATGAACGTGTCCTTGAAATAAGATCAAGGAGGTGAAAGTGCCAGGGCGTGAGGTTGGGAGCCATCACGGCCCTGGGGAGGAGGTGTGGGGAGAAGGAGCTGCCCCTGCTGGGGTGGTGGCTTTGTCCCCGTCCCACTGAGGTGGTGGGTTGGAGACTCCGTGGGCGGTTGCCCGGCTTCTCTAAGGGCAGGTGGTTTTGCTCTCAGACGCGATTTTCAGTGTGATACAGGGCAGGCGGCTGGCGTTTCTTACACTGTGCTGCGGCTGCTGTGGGTTTTGGAAGGTCATGGTCAAGCAGCAGTTTTCCTGGAGTGACGACTCTCTGTGCTGCTTTCTAGCACTTATGGGAGTGAGCTCCAAGTTTCCGGGACAGAGAATAGCATTCTGCTGGAGGGGCACCATATGACCGGCCCCAGCCACGGGGTAACTCAGGGCCCTACAGCCAGTGCTGGCTTTCCCTGCTTCTGAGCCCACGCAGGCTGTGAAGGAGATAGACGCCTTCAAGGAGATGCAACTATCTGTTTGCAAAGAAAAGGCCCATGTTTTTTTTTTTTTTTTTTGAGGATCGTCTACATTATTGAAACCATCTAATTGGAGATCTACAGATAGGTTTTTCCATCTTTGAGTTCTGAGTTTGAAAATACCAAATCCACATTAGGCTGCCAAGACACAGCTGCCTCTGGCAGAATCTTCGTGGTGGACAATTTTAGATGGAGGGAGCAGGCTGACAGCTCTGAGCGGCTGTGAGCATATGACTGTGAAAACGTACCCCAAAAATACACTTAAAAATGCACTGCATTTCTCTCTTGGGGGTTCATCCTAAGGAAGCCATCAGAGATTTATTTCCCAGGATATCCATCTTAGTGTCGCATATAATAGTGCAAAACGAGACAGTCTATGTGCTCCCAAACAGGAAAACGGTGAAATATAGTACATTCAGAATACGAAGTTACAGTTCAAAATCGTATTTTTAAAGAACTTGAATAATGTGGGAAAGTACACTGTGGTTAAGAAGCCAGCAAGCAGTGTATGTGATACGAACCCACTTGTATTTAAAATGTGTACAAAAATACCTGGGAAAAACTGGAAGGTGCTGCGTTAAGACGTTCAGAGTCGCCATGGGGGGTGGCTGGCAGCCAACGTCAGGTGTGTTTTCATTTTCTCTCTATGATGCAATATCCTACAGCA